ACTTACGGACCACATGGAACAAGAAAGAATGCTATAGGACTACCAGTGTGACTTCAAGAAAGAACAATTCACTGTTGATACTATACAATGAGAATAGAAAGATGGACTGAGGAAATAAAACGGGTCTCGACAACATTAGACGTGCGCAACGCATTCAACTGCGCTAGCTGGCCCGAAATCATCAAGAATCTGAAAAACAAAAAGATCTCACCGATCTCACTTGAAGGCAGTCGCGTTTACGTTGCCAACTCTGAACTGATTACCAATGTCTGCGTGTTGCATGGGCCGGTTTTGGGCCGACTCTGTGGGATATGTTGTATGATGATGTACTGCAACTGAGTGTACCCCAAACCAGTTTCCTCGCTTACGCGGATGACCTGGCTGCCCTGGTGACAGGTAAGAAAAGTGGGTTAGTAGCCACGGGCTGAAGCTGGCTAGTGAGAAAGCATAAGCATTGATCCTGGTTGATGGGGGCAAACTAGATAGAATCTCTTTTAGGCGTGGTGCCTTACGCATTAACAGTATTGATACCCTAAAATACTTGGGAATATGGCTGTCGAAAGACTTAAATATGGGAACACATTGCGCTGTCAGTGTCACGCGCGCAATGGCTTAGTCCCAAGTTCTGAGGAGGCTGATACCCAAGAAGGGAGATCCTGGTATTGCGAAGAGGAGAATCCTTACGGAGATCCTCCACTCCACGCTGCTTTATGGAGCCCTAATGTGGTTTCTGTACGTAGCTAAGCGTAAATATCAAATGAATATGCTTACAAGATGTCAAATGCAAATGGCGATAGCTATTATTGGTGCCCACAGAGAAGCGCTCAGTAGGCAAATAAAAGAGCTTGGGAAGTGGCAGCGCAGAGGGCGAAATAATATCTTCGAAAATTATGCTTTCATTATAATTTTCGCTTCTAACATATATAAATGAAAATGATCAGCACTATTACCTCTACAACGTACTGAAAGTTCAAGGTCATTGTGTTTGCTGAAACAAAAATAACCTTGTGGTCGATGGACTATCATGGGAGTAAAAGAAGACGCCCCCCAGAACACGAGGCCTTACACTGCCGCCCTGCTCATAGAACAACCAAAAGGACAGCAACTACTCCAAATAATACGACTTCCAGACGGCTTGAATTCTTGCGGACCAGAGGAGAGATTGTATCCCCCACGCTGTCAGAAGTTCGGTCACTTAGCCAACACCTGTAAGAGTAAAGAACCAAAGAGACGTGTGTGCCTAAAATGTGGTGATGAAGGACACGTTGTGCAGGACTGCAGCCTGAAACCGAAATGTTTCAGCTGCGGCCATGAATATCTCTGCAATGTGCTCACTATTAAGACTTGGTGAATAAAATAAGGAAAGAGAAAGGAGCCCCGAAATTTCTATTACAATCCTTCAATTAAACTGTAACAGACTGCCGCTGAGGAGGACTGCGATGTGGTATTGGCATCTGAGTCAAACAAGAGATACATGGCTAGGAAAGGGTGGCTGTACGAAGAGGAGAAGTTCACTGCCTACTTCCTGAAAAAGACTGTTTTTACTCGCGGACTGTATGTAACCACCAAAGGAATGACATGGTATGAACTACGGTAACTAGAATTAGGCTGGTTTCGACGTACTTCTCGCCTAATAAAAGCTCAACGGACTTTAGCACTTTCCTGTGTGGATTTGAGCAGGTCATACGCTTGCAAACTGCCCCTCTTTGGTTGGTGGGGATTTCACCGGACACTCGTGCCGTGCCAGAACTCTTCCCTCTAGGACGCTAAAGGCCCGGTCTTTTAGGAGGTGATCAAGGGGACAAAAGATATACTACTGAACAAGGGTTTAGTGCCCTCCTTCGTCTCCGATAATCTTTCGTCAATAGTGGATATTACCAGGATTTCGGGACTCCCTCGGGAATGATACATCACTTGGAGGATTCTGAAGCTAAAAACTATGGGTAATCATATGCTCATAAGGATCACATTGGACAGGTGCTCCCAAGAGGAACAGAAACATCAGTCGGATAGAAAATTATATAAAGTCAAAAAGAATCGTATGGCAACATTCAGACTCGCAATGCAGCAGTCCACGTGGACTGTGCAAAGTCAATGATTATCCTGTTAGTCTGAACAAGATTATAGGCGAAGCGTGTCAGCAGTCCTTTCCGCTCAGAGGCATGACCAATAGAAAACACGGAGAGATGTACTGATGGAACAATGAAATAGCAGCAGAGCGGAAAGTCTTCAAACGCGCTAGGAGACAGCTCCAATGAGAGAAAACCAAAGCAAACGGAAATACACGACCCAACCAATTACATAAGAACTATCGCAAGGAGTGTAGGGACAAAAAAAATTAATCAGGACGGCTAAAGAGGCCAAACAGAGGATCCTTATTAATCAGCTGGAGGATAACACATGGGAAGATGCCTACCAAATTGCCAAAAAGAGACTGAGAACAACCCTTCCTGAGGTTCTGTCACTGGAGGACAATGTCGCAAAGCGCAGGTAACGCTACCCGGCCTGTAGCCCGACGACTTAGCACAAAAAATCCTACGACGCTTCTGACCAGCCACCAGACATCATCACCATCACAAGGTCGCAAGTCCTAAGACTGGTTGGACACGCACCTCCACTCTTTCCTATCCTGAGCTAATCTTCGCATTTCCCTAAAACTAGAACAATCCATATCCTTAACTATTTCCGAACAGTAATCTAATCTCGGTCTACCTCTAAGCCTCCTAACTTCCATTTCTGCCTCTAATATGTCTCTGATTAGACCTTCGTGCCTTAGAAGGTGTCCTATCAACCTATCTCGCCTATTTCTTATTGACTTCCATAGAGTCCTCTGTTCTCCTATTCTTTCAAATGCCTCTTCCTTTCTAATCTTCTCTATCCACGGTATCCTCATAATTCGTCTGTAACACCACATTTCGAACGCTTCTAACCAGACATGATGGAAATTAAAACAACCGTCAAAAGTCTAGTGTGGTGTTAAGGACGTTCCCAAAGACCAGTGGTTCTTAACTTACGAATACAATTTCCCTGTATAAGTTACCCACTTGCACTGTAAGAATTAATTGACCACCATTACGCTCTTTTGCCCCGCCTCCCATGCACATAAGCGAAAAAATTGACCTACTGCGTCGCTTTACTCGACTTGGCAACGTCTCATATTTGTATCGTGACGAACTGATGAAGGTGAAAAGATATCATTACTAAAGTGATACAATTTTTAAGAAAAAAAAGCCAAATAATTTATTTATTAGTTTCGGTAAAATAAAGCTATACTTATATAATATTATGGGAACACTCGGTATAGCAATAAACAATTCAAATGTGTAATAATTAAAGTTCATCTTTTCTGCCGACTTAGTAAAATCGCGGTACAGTGCGACTAACTAGGTCATCGACATTTACACACACATATGTAAACTGCTGAAATAACTATTGCCATTAAACCAATGTAAATAATTTTTATATAAATAGCGTGTAAATAATTGAATGATGCTGCAATAGTGTCAACCCTTGGATGCTGCAATAGTGTCATATCTAGTCATTGATGCAGAAATGTGTCCAACGCTATTATAAAATCGGTTCTTCTCAGAACCACAACTTTTGATAGTCACATCTAACTACGACTACACAGTGGAGTGACTACAATATAAATACATTTTTTTTTTATCATTTTATATAATTGTTCATTTTTATTATTATCAGTCAATAAATATTTAATTTCTGTCTAATATAAATGGTGTAATAAAATAATTCGAAGTACGTATGCTTCAGCAAGGTCCTTTTAAATATATGGATATCTATTTGCTGAAGCATACGTAATCCTAAAATGTAGCATTGTACTACAGATGGCGTTTACAGC